GGAGAAGCCTCATGAGGAAAATGCTTGCCCTGCAAATGTAAAAACTGGAATACATATCCCCAGATCCACACAGAAACTGGGTAGGTATGGCAGGCAGAAACAAGATCCTAGCCAATTGGCAGAATCTGGGTTCAAATGAGAGACCCTGCCTCAATACATGTGTACACTCACCCACCATAGACGTAAGCCCACACATACGGAAACATACATACACACAGCATGCACACAAATACATGCAAAAGAAAAGCTTTTGTTATATATCATTAGGTGTTGCGAGTCTTACAGATTTCAAAAGGCATCTGGAAAGACAGTAACAACAGCAGTTGGGAAATCTGAATAAAAGCAGGCATGGGTGGAAAAGGGCATTAAGGAGACATTAAGGTAGTTGGGTAAAAATCTAGTATAAAAGGTGGGCTACTTCCCATGAGTTATTGGCTAAGGAGGCCCCTAAGGCCTCCAGAACAATACAGGCTACTGCTACTGCTGTTGGAGGCAAGCCAGAACTAGACAGGGAGGACTCTACTGCTTAAAACACCACACACTTCAGTTGGAGGACATGGAGATATCAGGTTGGGTTGGGCTGGGAGCTCCAGCATTGCTGGCTGGCTTTCCAAATGTCAAAAAGCAATATGCAAGTTGGTGGGGATGTGGGGATGACTTCTGCTCACAGTCCTGCTCCGCTGTGGACCTGCAAGCTCCACTACCAACATGCCAGGCAAGATGTACCCACTAGGGTCAGCAGTTACTTTCTGATTGGACTGAAGACTGGCCTCACTGGAGGAAACGTCTGCCTATACTGGTACATCTGGTACTATAAGCTAAGACAAAGACCTATGGCTGTTGAGGTCAGAGGCTCCAGTGGGGAAGCAACTGTTCTGATCCTATTAAACAAATGTGATATGCCTGTTAAACTGCCTTCTAGACATTTGTTCTTAAGCCCACAGATTACTGCTGCTGTTGTCTCTATTTGGCCATGGAAGGTGTAAAACTCATAACCTTGTCAAGCTTCTGAGAATAAATGACTGTTGCTATAACATAGTAACCTAACCCAAAAGCCCAATGTTCAAACCAAAAATGGAGGAAAATAATCAATAGCACACTCCAAAGTAACAGAGAAGAATGTCAGAGCTGGCAGAAGCAGTGTGGTGCTGTGTAGCTTTTCCTCCAAACTGCATCAGTCCCTCCTGAAGGGAAAGGAGGTTCACAAGACTGGAGGAGCTAAGGAAATGTACAAGGAACTTTTCAGGAAGCTCAGCAGGTACCAGAGTCACCAAGTCCCTCTCCAAGGAGGAGATACTGGTGGAGTGAACTACAGGCTGTACAGCAGCTCCAGGTACAGGACTTCCAACACTTAAAATGAGAGGAACAGAAGGGCAAGAAAAGCAAAGCCAAATTCTCCAGTCACAAGAAAAAAATCAAAAAAGATCTTTAAAAATACTAAGCAAAGCATAATGGCAACTGTCTATAGTTTCAGGTACTCATGAGGCTGAGACAGGTGGATCACTTAAGCCAAAAAGTTTGAGGCCAATCTAAGAAACACAGAAAGAACTCATCCTCAAACAAAAAATATCGGGGTTGGGTATTTAGCTCAGTGGTAGAGCGCTTGCCTAGCAAGTACAAGGCCCTGGATTCGGTCCTCAGCTCTGATTAAAAAAAAAAATATTTAGAGCTGGTGAGCTGACTCAGCAGGTAAAGGCACCTGCTGCCAAGCCTACCAACCTGAGTTCAAACCTGGGCCCCATATGGTAGAGGAAGAACTGACTCTCTTAGGTTGTCCTCTGACTTCCACACATATGCTATGCTATGCACACACAAATGCACATTCACACACATACACCAAATTAATTAAACATCTTTTAACATCTTTATGTTAAAAATATGGTACAACATTAAAAATCTAGATGCATGTTTTTGGAGGGTTTGTTTTGTTTTTCAAGACAGAGTTTCTCTGTTTAGTCCTTGCTATTCTGGAACTCACCTTGTAGACCAAGCTGGCCTTGAACTCAAAGATCTGCCTGCCTCTGCCTCCCGAGTGCTGAGATTAAAGGCATGCTCCACCGCTGCCAGGTGTATGTTATTTTTATAATTACAAAATTAAAATGTTAAGACAAAGAATAGAAAAGATGTATCAAGAAAATACAAAAAAAGGGAACCAAAGTATCAATATTAACATGCTAGATAAAATGGACCTCAGAGGAAACATTCAAAAAGAAAATTCGTTAGAGTGGACTAAAGACTAAAAGCATAAAGGCAAAATTTTTAAAGTATACAGAAAGTAAAGATTGAACAGAGCTCAGATTCAATTACAATTAAGAACTTCTGTTTCATAAGAGTTGTGAGATACACACACACACACACACACACACAGTTAAATCTATCAAAGAAACTAAGTTCAAGGTCTGTTACATACTTATCTTCTATAGCAATAAGATACATGCTGAGTGCAGTGGTGCACACCTTTGATCCCAGCACCACACATGGGAGGCAGAGGCAGGCGGATCTCAAGTCATTTGAAGACTAGCCCAGGCTATATAGCAAGCCCCAGGCCAGCCAGGGCCACATACTAAGAACCTGTCTCAAAAAAAGTAAAAAGGTATGGTACTGCAGTATTGTGGTAATATATTACTATTTATATCTCATATTTAAGATTGTGTACATTATACATTTCCCTTATGATTCTAACAGGCCTCCATACCTTAGTAGGCCCCAAGACCTTAGCACAACTGACTCCATGATGGAGGTACCATTCAAGCCATAAAACTCAGCACACAGACAGCAATACCAGCCAAAATGAAAACAGAGACCTAATCCATCAAAGTCATAGTCTAGGAAAGTCTCTAAATGTGCTAACCTTCCTTTTTGGCTTCTGTAGTTCTGCTTCTGTAACTGTTCTTATTAACTCAAGTATGTCAACCCAGGACATGGTTTTTGTGCTTAAAGCTCACCTGAGAGAGGCTTGGGGCTGGGAACCTGAACACCTAGTGCAGTCGCCAGCCAGCCAGCTAATAAAGACTTTCTATTGGCTTAAAACCATGTCCGAGCAGTCTTCTCTAGGAGATACCCCACAACAATGGTGCAAATATCTTAAACCTAGTAACATTAATCATGCTATTTTAATTGTTAGCTTATGCTTTGAGCTTCCTTCTCTGTATTGAGTTTTCTGATTATAGACTGCTGACTACTCTGCAAATAAAAGAGCAAACAACAGAGGGCCCTACATGAAACAACACTGCATTACAAAACTGTCAACCAGAGGCAGCTAACTTAGTCTATATTTTCCATGGAGTTTTTTAAAAGACAATATAAAAAAATTAAAATCATTCTATTAGTAGTACAGGGCAAGGTTTGAAACCCAACAGTAAAGTAAGGGACAAAGTTTCATATTTGGGATTTCTTAGAAATTTGATCCAATTGTGAACATATTCTTTAAAAAAAAAAAAAAAAAAAAAAAACTACTGTTGGCTGGAGAGATGGCTCAGCGGTTGAGAGCACTGGCTGCTCTTCCAGAGGACCCGGGTTCAATTCACATGTCAGCTCACAACTGTCTGTAGCTCCAGTTGCAGGGGATCTGACATCCTCACATAGACATACATGCAGGCAAAACACCAATGTACATAAAATACAAATAAATAAATTTTAAAAATACTGTCAAAAAACTAAAAATAGAATAATCAGGCCTTGCCCAGTGGCATATACTTATAATCCCAGCACCTTGGTGCTGAGAAGAGAATGGCACTTGGATGCTAGCCTGGGATGTGAGAAGACCCTGTCTCAAGACAACAAAACATCCCTCTGATTATTGTATCAAAGAGATACTGTGCATCTGCTGCAGCACTGTTCACAGTATCAAAGGGGAGAATCAATGGAGGTGCCCAACAATGGATAAAAACACATGGATAAATAAATTGTGGTATGCACATACCATTTAGTCATGAAAAAGAGTGAGGTCTAATCTGCAGCAGTGTGGGGAAAATTAAGCTAAGTAACATACGACAGGCAGAGAAAGCCAAGGCACATTCTTGCTCCTCTGTGAAGGGTAAAAAAGTTGATTTCATGGGAAAACAGAGTAGAACAAGAAGTTAGGAAAGAGAGAAGATGGAGAGGGATAAAGGTTCAATAATAAGAACCAAATACTACTAGATCAGAGGAGCAAATGCGTATGTCCTGCAGCACAGGAGGATGGCTACTCTTCACAATTTATATTCTATAGAGAACTAGGGGCGAAAGGAATTTAAAGGCTCCAAACCCGCAAAGAATAAATGCTAAAATAGGAATGCTAATTACACTGATTTGACCATTACACACAGTACGCATGTACTGAAGTATCATCACCCTGTACCTCATAAACGTACAATTATTAGAAGTCAATGAAACCATCCAGCTGGGAGTGATGACGCACTCCTGTAATGCCTGCACTAGGGAGATTAAGGCTGGAGGGCTGCAGCAAATCCGAAGCCAGTCTGAACGACATAGCAAATACCACGTACACACGAGACCGGCACAGACAAGCCTGAGAGATGGACAGTGCTGCAAAAAGCCAATTACTACTGGGTCAGCCTCAATTCACGTAGGCTGTTCTGGGGAATTAACTAGCGCTGAATTTAAACAGCTGAATTCTCAAACAGCACATTTCCAAAACATTCATCACAAGGGGAAACATGGGCAGGGGCGATGAGAGCTTCCAGGCTTCGTCTTGTCAAATTTCTAACCCATGGATTATCAAAAGCTGTCTAGAGAAGGTGCAGTACGCCCCCTCACCCCCCAAAACAAACAAACAAACTGGAGAGTAGGAAAAACAGCCACTTCCAGTGAAAACGCTCTCTTCTGCCCAAGCGGAGGAGCAGTCCCAGCACAGACCAAGCGCTGCACAGGCTCGCACTCGCCCAGACACCCACCCCGGCGGGCAGCGCGACCGGCCGCGTCGCTTCCCCACGGCCTCGGTGCCCCGCCCGGCCCCGCCCTGAGGCGGCCACCATTCCTCAGAGATGCTCGGCGCTTACCATCCTAAGTTTCTCCTCAGCCATCTTGGCTCCGCCCACCGCTGCGCGACCGGAAGCCAACCGTTTCCCGGACAGCCAGCAGAACCGGAAGTCGTAAGTCCGGGAAGGAAGAAGGAAGACGGGGAGCCAGGAAGGAAGTAGTGGAAGGCAGCGGCAGTGAGGTTGGTAAACTCGTGGAGTCTCCAGAGTTGGGGGCGGCCACAGATGGCATAGCTCGGAAGGAAAGGGTGAGGGAACGCGCAGCCGGAGGTCAGACATGATCTCTGCCCCGGTCTGGACGACTTGAGAGTGTAGCATGTCAGTCCGATATTAGATAACGAAGTTTATGAAGAAACAGTTCACTCAATAAGTACAAGTAGCGCCTAAACATACGAAAATAAAACTGCCAGCAAGAGAAATAATGCAAACTTATATTTCCAAGAGATTTGACCTACCTCTTATGTTAACAAAAATTTTCACTGACATATTTGTGAAGAAAACATGCTTTCTTCATCATCAGTGGAAACGAATTGGTCAAGCTTCCGATAAGAGCAGCTTAGCAACAACTACCAAAATTAAAAATACACATACCCTTTAACCCAATTGTTTCAATTATAGGAATTTATTCTATACGTATAGACATGAGACATGGCTTTACATACAAAGGTATCCAATGCATCATTGTTTGGAATAAACCAAAGCCTGAAGAAACAACCTAAATATCCAACAGTAGAAATTAAATAAACTATAAGAGGTTCATGTTATGTGGCATATGAAAAGAGCCAACTATTTACATGGTAAGAAATGCCAACGTACACTAACAGATAATGACAACGTGCAAAACTGCAATATAGTACTTGAGTTAATAAGAGAAAGCAGAAATAAAGAATAATATGTACACAGTTCTTTATTAGAAAATATTTCTGGAAGGATATTCAGATACTAAAAGTGGTTACTCTAAAGAAGAGAACCGGGTAGCAGGGATGCAAAGAACAGAGGTAGACTTTTTACAACTTTAATTTTACACTATATGGACATATTATCTATGCCAGTAATAAAGATAAAATTAATGAAACGTACCACAGAGCATTCAGATTGTGATAACTGCTAAGAAGGAGAAATGTAAAACAATAGAAAATAACCAGGGGTTTCAACCTAGAGTAGCAAGGCAAGCTTTTTCTAGGTAAGAGATATTTTAAATTACATCTAAAGAATAAGGCATTATTAGCTGGAGGAAACAGACTGAGGGAGCGTGTAGACCAGGGAAGAATTCTAAGGCAGAGGAAGAAATTGTGCCCAGACCCTGAGGATGAAAGAAGCATGGCTAGTTTGCAGCACAAGAGAGGACAGTGTGGCTAGAAAAGAAAAAACTGAGGAAGCATTGATTCCCATGGTTGAGAAGGTTGTACAGTCGAGTGGTGTAGACCCACCAAGGCCATATGAGGGAAGCTGTTATAAAGGGCAGTGGGAAGGCACTAGAGACTTCTGAGCAAGGAATGGCTTGATAAGAACGAACAGTTAAAGAGTTCTTCTTAACTACTGAGTGGAGAATGAATTAAGAATGCCAAGAATTGCTGGGCGGTGGTGGCGCACGCCTTTGATCCCAGCACTCGGGAGGCAGAGGCAGGCGAACCTTTGTGAGTTCGAGGCCAGCCTGGGCTACAGAGCGAGATCCAGGAAAGGCACAAAGCTACACAGAGAAACCCTGTCTCGAAAAACCAAAAAAGAATGCCAAGAATTAGCAGGGTGCATGGCAAGCATTTAATCCCAGCACTTTGGGAGGTAGAGGCGAGTGGATCTTTGTGAGTTTGAGGCCAGCCTGGTCTACAATAGGGAGTTCCAGAATACCCAGGGCTAAATAGTGAGACCTGTTTAAAAAAAAAAATCAAGAATTGATAAACTTAGATTTGTTTGCTTGGACAAAAGAGATGGCAAAAAAATAAATAATAAAAAAAAAGGAAGAGCAGGTGGTGGTGCATACCTGTAACTCTGGCACTTGAGAGGCTGCAGAAAGACCAGAAATTCATGAACAGCCTTAATCACATAGTGAGTTCCAGGTCAGCCTGCTTGGCTACATGAAACACTCTCCCAAAATATAGTAAGTAAATAAATAAAAATAAAGAGGAGGAAAAAGAGGCCCAACAATGCTAGCTAGCACTCAGGAGGCTGCAAACAGGATTGGCATGAATTTGAGGCTACTGTGGACTACATGTGATCTCCAGTCTAGGCTTGGCTATATGTTAAGACCTTATCTCCAAAACAAACAAGCTGGTCACAGTGGCACATGTTTGTAACCCCAGCATTTAGGAGGCAGAGGCAAGAGGATCATCCAAGATAGGCTAGTCTATATCTAAGAAGACCTTAAAGAAATGTAGAAAGTAGCTAGAGTAATGTAGGATCAGGGTCATAGGAATCACTTTTGGAAAGAGAGAGATGCATGTCAAAGGAATACTGCCAGATTTCTAAACTCAGAAACAAATTAGGTGCAGCCAAAACTATACGAAGAAACCCTATCTGGAAAAACAAAACCAAAAGGCAAAAACAAATTAGGTGAATTGTTCAGCCAGTACTAAGATGGGGTGCATTAAGGATGATGTTAGTAGAAAGTTAATGATCTTGTTTCCCAATATATAAACCTCCTTGGAAGGGACCTGTGAGGAAAATATTTTAATATGCAGAGGCTTTTATTATGTTTTAAATTTACATTTATTTATCACGAAGAGGGGTGCATATACTATGGCACATATGTAGAGGTCAGAGAACAATTTATGGAAGTCAGTTTTCTCCACTGTCAGTCCTGAGGATGGAATTCAGGCCATCGGGCTTGGCAGCAAGCATTGTTACCCGCTGACACATCTTACCCATCTCTGACCCCAGGCCTTAGAAGGAAGGTAGAGCATCCTTGTTTGTTTTTTTTTTGTTTGTTTTTGTTTTTTGGGGGTTTTTTTTTTGTTTTTTTTTATTGCAGGAGCTACCGTTTTCATAAAAAGGACATTAGTTTCTCAAATTTCATTCATCAAACTTAGTGTGTTTCAATTAGATAATCAGAATGTCCTCAAAGAAAAACCCTAGAGCTTCCATAGGGCATGTTGTGTGGTCACATGCACATCTTCATTTCCCTTAGCAAACTCCCATTAAGGTGGCCCTGCATATCAGATTGTCAGATCATGCAGCTGTGTCCGAGTGCTCAGCCAGGGCTGTTGTTTGGTTTTTATGGTTGCAGGGCAGGTGGCAGGAGAGGCAGTAAGCACAACTTCCATCTCCAGTGTAAGTTTAAAGAAGCTGCAGCTGCATTTCTCCATTTTTAGTATTTTATTAATTTATTAATAAATATCCATTTAGCCGGGCGGTGGTGGCACATGCCTTTAATCCCAGTACTTGGGAGGCAGAGCCAGGCAGATCTCTGTGAGTTCGAGGCCAGCCTGGGCTACCAAGTGAGGCCCAGGAAAGGCGCAAAGCTACACAGAGAAACCCTGTCTCGAAAAAAAAAAAAAATTAAATAAATAAATATCCATTTAGTATTCATTAATTTCTGGAATTTAAGGTCCCCAGCCAACTTTGTTCTGATGCCTCCTGCTGGGCAACTCTAGCATATCAGGCCTCTTTAGAAGTATCCAGCCCTCACAGGACCCACAACATTAGTGCCAAGAATACAGTCAATATGGTAGGAAAACACCACTTTAAAAGAACACTAGGTGTTCCTATTTTCAAAGTCCTTCAGGAACTGTTTCCTATTCATGATAGTACAAATAACAGTAATTAGTGGAGAACACTGGGAGGCAAAGCACTGCAAGCATAAACAGTGCTTTGCTTCTCAGAAAAAAATACTAGACACATCCAAATGTCCAGCACCAAGGATAGTTTAAATGAATCAAGGCAAGATGCTACTGTAAGATGTATTATCCAGCTTGTAAAAATTCCCAGAGATGTAAAGAAAAAAAGCAGGTGTAGATTATATGGGGGAAAGGTGAAGAGAATATGGTATGTTTCCATTTGTGGATTAAAAAAAAAAATTCCCAGGCCTGGAGAGATGGCTCATCAGTTAACAGCCCTTGTCACACTTGCAAAGGACTGGAATTCGGTTCCCAGCACCCACATCAGGTAACTCTCAACTGCCTGTAACTCCAGTTACATGGGATCTGACACCCCTTCCGGCTTCTGTGTTGCACATATAAATAGTCCTTCATATACAAACACATAAAATAAAAACAATAAATTCTTTAAAAACAAGAAAGATGCTGGAGACATGGCTTAGTGGTTAAGAGCACTCATTTTTGTTTTGATATTTTTGTTTGTTTGTTGAGAGAGGGTTTCTTTGGTAGCCTTGGCTATCCTGGAACTCGATCTATAGACCAGGCTGGCCTCACAGAGATCTACCTGCCTCTGTCTCCCAAGAGCTGGGATTAAAGGCGTGTGCCACCATTGCCTGGCCCAGAGCTCTTATTCTTGCAGAGGACCCAGGGTTGGTTCCTAGCACCCACATGGTGGCCCACAACTGTTCACAATTCCAGTTCCAGGGGATCCTCTTCTGACCACCACAAGCACCAGACACATACGTGGTGCAAGGACATAAATGTGAGCAAAACACTCATAACACGTAAAATATATAAATCTCAAAACAATTTTAGGGCTGGAGAGCTGGCTCAGTAGTTAAGAGCACTTGTTCTCACAAATGACGCAGGTTCAATTCCCAACACCCATACGGAGGCTCATCGCGTCCTTGATCACCAGACATGTATGTCGTGCACAGACACACCTGCAAGCAAAGCACGCATACACATAAAATAATTGTAAGAAAATTTTTTTTAAAGTGGAACAAGCTGGACAATGGTGATACATGCCTTTAATCCTAGCACTCAGGAGGCAGAGACGGGTAGGTGGATCTCTGAGTTTGAGGTCGCCTGGTCTACAGAGTGAGTTCCAGGACAGCCATGGCTATAAAGGGACACACTGGCAGTAAATGGTTACTGTACAAGTATAATGGAAGGCTAGATACAAAATAAACAAATACAAATAAGAGAAATGAAGAGCTCATCAGATAGTTTTAATAGATTAGCATCAGAAAGCCAGAGAACTTAAACAAAGTTCAATGAAAAGCATGCACATTGAAAACAAGAGGTGGGGGGGGGGAGGGAGGGGGTTGTATGAAATCTAGAGGATAATAGCAGAGACATCTACATAC